TATATATATATCGTCTATACATCTGATCAAATCTCTTTGCTGTTTATTTTTAGATCAGTTATAGGTAGCGTGCAGTGCCTAAATACGCTTTCATATTACTCATCAGTAAGTGACTTCGTGCGCGCACTTATACAAACACACATACACACTATATACACTCACTTACTTTTATATTCTTTCTTTCTCTTACTCTCTCTCTCTCTCATTCACTCACTTTTTCTCTCCCCCCCTCTCTCTCCCTCTCTCTCTCTTCCCCTTTCACTCATTATCTCCCGCTCTATTTTACACCCCCGCCCATCTCTCTCTCTCCCCCCTCTCTCTCCCTCTCTCTCTCTCTCTCTCTCTCTCTCTCTCTCTCTCTCTCTCTCTCTCTCGATTTCTGTTCTAACCTTGCTCTGTATGTGTACAACCCCGGTCCTTTCTGTGTTCATTCTCTTCTTCTTTCTGAGAAATGGTCCAGCTGACTCTAATTCTCTTTTTACTTCTTCTGTCTGTATTTTTCTCATCTTCAGACCTTCAATTTCTCCGTTTCTCTCACCAGCAGCTTTTCACCCTTCTCTGTGGGTGGTTGGAGGGCGCTAGTGGTGGTTCCTACTTATTTTCTTTATATCTGTTTTTTTTTCTGTCTCTCTGCTTTGCTTCCTCCCAGCAGTATATGACTGTTATTGTGTCAACGTGCTTCTTTTTACGCAAACTAAAAAATTCCAAAACCTTCTCCTATTAACTCACGAGTCATGTGTCTGTCATTTTGACTGTCACTTCCATCATTTTTTCTATCTTACAATCTTTTCGTATGTCTTCATGTGAGCAAGAGTACGTGTGCTTGTGCTTGTGCTTCTGTATGTGTGTTAGTGTATGAGATATTTGTACGAGTATGTGTGTTTGTGCTTCTGTACGTGTGTTAGTGTATGGGATATGTGTACGAGTATGTGACTGCATGGAAGCTAGGGAGGGGTGGAGGGGTAGAAAGAAAGTAAAGAGAGAGAGAGAGAGAGAGAGAAAGAGATAGATAGAGGGAGAGAGAGAGGGAGACATAGAAAGAGAGAAAGAGACAGACAGGGAGACAGAAAGACAGAAGCAAATAGTGAAAGCAACATTGGGCTTTCTGAATTTTATTGTTATTTCTTTCCAGTTTTGCTGTCAAACAACCTCTCTCTCGCTCTCTCTTTCTTTTCCTCTCTCTCCCTCCCCCCTCTCTCTCTCTTTCTCTCTCCTTCTATCTCTCATTCTACCCTGTCTCCCCCCCCTCCCTCTCTCCCCTTTCCTT